GTATATATATATTTTTGTTGGAGGTTGTATTTTGTTCTTTGTTGTATATATTGTATATATTTTGCTTATATTGTAGCCTGTTGTAACGATATGTGTAGTATATGACAAATAAAGCTAGAAACTTTAAAAATTGACTGTCACTTATTTATTTTGGAATTTGCTATCTGTCTATTATTTCCATAATTCATATAAAGCTCTTTGTCTTCAATTGGGGGAAACAACTTTTTTTAATTTTATTTAGTTAATGACAGCAGGAATTATAAGGACAAATTCTACCAAACAGATCCTTTTATTTTTGTGGTGACATTTTATATTGCTAAATGTAACTAACTGTAAACCTATTTCCTTGCTCTAACTTAACATAGAGCTCTGTTCAAATCCAAAAGCTTTTTTCCCCTTCCTTTCATCAGATAACAAACCCACACAACAACTTTCCTGTCATATCCCTGTTAACTTCTTTTTTGGGGGCGTTATTTCAGACTTCTACTGTCCCCACAGCTTTAAAAAATAAGGGGGTTATCATTACAACTAGATTGTTGTGCAAAACCTGCAGCACTGCAGACTGGAAAAACTGCAGTAAAACACATATTTGATCTGATAATGGAAAACAGATTTTGATGATTTGTGATGCCAGTTTTGGTCACTACATTATTTGTAAACTGCAATACTGCTATATTTCTCTGCACAAATAGACAACTGTATGATTAAATTATGACCCAGAAAGCAGCAAGAAAATTAACATGTAATGAAATATAAATGATGTGGTGGCCCTCTAAAAGAATGCAACATACATCACTTTATCTTTCATAAAACATTAAGGAGTAAGGGTGTTAATGTAGCCCAAGACTTGCAGTGGTGGATTTTAACTGTGTACATCCAGTACTGTACTTAAGTACAGTTTTGAGGTACTACTTAAGCATCTTTAATTTTCTGCTTTTATTCCATTACATCTCAGAGGCAAGTATACTTTTCCCCCCAGTATCTGACAACATTAGTTACTAGTTACTTTGGACTCCTCTAATGTTGAGATTATTATAAAATATAAATTATGATGTTTCATCGTAAGCTAAATAAGATATTAAGATGCAGTATATAATTATATTCTACTAACCTAATATAGGCCTATATTATTCTGAAATGGGCAGCTCTACTTAATGAGCACTTACATTTTCTGGTAATTTTAGTATATTTTCATGCTAATAGCCTGTTTATTAACTATAAAGGTACTTAACTAAGTTTTTGAGTGTAACATTTTTACTTGCAACAGAGAAGGCTGTTTCTGTACAGTGGAATTGCTGCTTTACTAAAGTAACCTAAAAGATCTGAGGCTACCTCTTTCACCTTGTAAGGACTGGTTTTGGGCTACTTGGAGGTTGTATCATGGGGTGAAAGTGTGTGCTACAAATATGCAAATAAAATTAGGCTACTTTAAAGTTGGGATTTCATAACAGCCCTTCTGACGTCACGGCTGTTTCCTCCCCTAGCCTCCTCACTTTCCTCCCCCTCCTGTTCGAGGAGAGACAGCCTGTTTTCTGAAGGAGAGGAACTGTCCCGGAGCCTCCAGACTGGGATTGTCCGAGTGAGAACATGCGGGCAGCGGGGCACCAGCTGGCCGCTGTGCTGGCTCTGTTTGCCGCAGTGTTCGGGTCGCGGGCGGAGGTGATCGATGACATCTTGAACAGCCTTTCCAGGGGAGCATCCTTCCTGGAGCGGCAACATGAGCACATCAACCTGGACGGGGTGGTCGGCTTCCTTATGCTGCAAGGTACGTCAACACGTCCTGTGCTAGAAAAGCTGCAGGAAACATCTGGAAAATATCTGTGTTTTTGTTTATTTGGCCCGTGTGGGTTCAGATAAGGTGGGTCACTTTTTTTGGCAAAAGGCACTACTACTAATAAGTAAACTATTCTGTGGTGAAATGGTACTACACTGCCCAATATAGGGGAAATTTTAGGGGAATCATAGCCTATTGTTTAAAAGTTGAAGACTGTCAACCCTAACAGACACACTTTTGTCCCTAATTTGAGTTATTAAGCTGTAGAGGGATATAAAGTGCTTTTACAGCAAAGACAATACAGTGACATTTTAAACAATTCAATACGTTTTTTTTCTAAAAACACTAAATTGTGTTTTATTATAAGCATTTTGTTATATGTTTGCATTTTGTTTAATTAATGATGAACATTTGCCAATCAGTAAATACATCTACATTACAGCAGAATTTAGTTGTAATAATGCTACAGCTTAGTTTCTTAAATAAGAATACACCACATTATAATAATGTGCTATCTATCTATCTATCTATCTATCTATCTATCTAATATCATTGAGTTACTATTCCCATAAAGTCAACAGGTTCAAAGTTCAAGTCTGGTGGTGACCGAGATTTTGTAATTCTGGGGGTCAGATGAGCAAACTCTCAAAACAGTTTAGTGTTTAAATGTCTCAACACCTGCTTATTTCAAAGGCATTTCATTAATTCTTTATTCTGTTTTTTTGCTGTTTTTTTAATTGAAATATCTGTCATCGAACTTTGTGACCTCATGTAAGAAGTGCTATATTTATTTACAGTTGTGCTAGCAGCTCTGTGAAGCAGTACTAAGGTTCAGTGGTGCTTTGAAGTAAAAGCCAACATTAGAATGCTAACACGCTCACAATGACAGTGCTAACATGCTGATGTTTAGCCTTTACAGTCTTTATCAAAGTTATTACAATTCATCCTGAGGGGAACATGAATGTGTGAACCACATTTCATCACAACCCATTCAATAGTTGTTGAGGTATTTCACAAAAAAATATAAATGTGAATCTCATGGTGGCACTAGAGGAAAACCCAGAGGATCACCAAAGTCAGCAGGGTTCATCCCCCTGGGAGCATAAATGTGTGTAATAAATTTCAGCCAAATAGCATGGAAATACGCCCAGTAGATTTTGAGATATGTTGAGGCCTTGAAGTGTTGAACAAAGTGAAGAGTGGACTGACATGGTTGCCAGTGGGCAATGGAGCTGCCCAAAAATCAATATTAATTCAATGTTGTTATTTCAACGTTGCTAAAGCAAATAATTAATAATAATAATAATAAATTTATTTATATAGCACCTTTAAAAACAAAAGTTTACAAAGTGCTTTGACGAACAAAGCAAACACAGGATATCTATAGCAACAGAGAGTCAAAACAGTGAGGACAAACAGCAAAATTGAGTTAAGCAAAACACAGACAGAATGATAAAGACAGAATGATAGGACAGAATGTTAAAAGAGATAAGAACAATAAAGGCAACAATAAATATTTCTAAATATTAGAAACAAACGAATAGAAGGATAAAAAGACAACATTGCATAATGACAATAGAATAACGAAGAATAAACAATTAAAAGGAATAGAATAAAATAAATTAAAAGAATAAACAAAAAGAATAAATAAAAAGACGACATCACATAAAGGCAAGTCTATAAAAATGGGTTTTAAGAAGAGATTTAAAAGATGTTACTGATTCTGCAAGCATTATCTCCTCAGGCAGGTCGTTCCAAAGTCGAGGGGCCCTGATGGAAAAGGCGCGGTCGCCTTTAGATTTAAGTCTCGACTTTGGAACGGCCAGGAGGGCCCTGCCCGAGGATCTAAGGCTGCGTACTGGCTCATATGGGGTCAACGTTTCTGCTATGTAACTTGGGGACAGACCCAGACGGGCTTTAAAAGTGATCAGTAAAATCTTAAAATCAATTCTAAAACGCACAGGGAGCCAATGGAGGGAAGCCAGGATTGGGGTGATGTGATGTCTTCTGTTAAAACCAGTAAGAAGCCTAGCTGCTGTGTTCTGTACCAGTTGGAGGTTGGAGAGTGATTTATGGTTTATGCCAGAGAGGAGTGAGTTACAGTAATCGAGTCTGGAGAAGATGAATGCGTGGATTATTTTTTCTAAGTCAGAATGTGGGAGCATGGGTTTGATTTTGGAGATAGTTCTTAACTGATGGAATCAGGACTGGACAACTTTATTGATATGAGGTTGGAAGTTGAGGTCTGGATCGAATATTACTCCTAAGTTTCTGGCTGCGGATTTGATGTTAACGGACAGGGGACCAAGGCTATTTTCAATGGGACTGGTGGAGTTTGGGGGAGTGAACAGTATGATTTTGGATTTGGAGTTATTGAGTTGAAGAAAGTTTTGGGCCATCCAACAGTCAATAAAGTTTTTTTTTTTTTCTCCTACTTGTCTGCATTGGTCTTCATAGCTTAGCGCCACTAAAGGGTGTAAGCTTCTTGTGAAGATTGATGCACTGTTAATCTTGCAGTCAAGTATTTTATACCCATACTGTGCGTGGTTGTGACCGTCACCCACCCTCCCTGGAGACTAGCCTAACAGTCTTTATTGGAAAAACTTCCTAATATGAGTCAGAGAGGGCCGTGATACACCAAAGTGTGTCAAGGGGAAAGTAAGGAAACAAGCAAGGGGGAGGGGGCAGGTGCTTAAGTCCTGAGTTATATAGTGACAGTGCATGCGGAGAAGGAGGAAAAACAAACAAACAAATAAACAAACAAATAAAAAAAAAACAGGGGAGAAACAGGCAGTGTAGCTGATGTATTGTGGCCTTGAGGTGGTTGTGCTCCATGCAGATTATCAAAAATAAACATATACATGTCTACTATACTGTACTGAAAAACAAAAACAAAAGAGAAGTCTACACTGAACACCAAAAATGTGAGAGTCTTGGTGGAGGGGGAAAGCCCGATTGTAGAGAAGAGTTGCCAGCGCGGTGTGGTAGGTTTGAGAGGCAAGTGGGCCCCTTTGGAGTGATCCCATCGGTTCTTTGCGATGCGTCACGGAGCTGAAGTATCGAACATGCATGCGTGTATTTGAACCCTCCCAATGTGTTTATGAAAACCATCACCAGGGTCCAGGGCCAGCCCTGCGGGGGAAGGGGGGCGGTATGGCACCCCAAGACCGCAGGAGCGCCCAGACCCCAAGACCAAGGAGCCGCAGAGGCCGCAGGACACCACACAGGCCCAAGGACCCAGGGCGGCAATGGCCGGCACCCCCAGAGAGCCAGAGACACACCCCAGACAGGCAGGGCAGGAGGGCCCGCCCACCCACCGCCCGACGCGGACCGCCCCCACCCCCCCCCAACCACCACCCGCACCCGACCACCCGCC